TTTGTAATTATTACACTAAATGCTCTAATGATATTATTTTTCTTTGTTTGCTTTACAAACCCCATAGAATTTTACTGTTGTTATGGTTCATGGTCAGAGCAATGTAACTGCGTTATGTATCTTACCCATCTTATTATGTTGTAAGATGCTTAATGACAGGTTTCTTCAAGTTATAACTCATTACAATATCTCTTTTTTAAGTTTTTTGATTTAAGTAACTATTCTCTACAGAAGTTTTTGCCATCTCCTTGAAATTAGACCTGGTAGTGTTCACAACATATTGAAATTATGTAGTCCTAAGCAAAATAAGACATAAATGTTCCAGATAGCATAACCTAAACTTTTGATTCTGAAATTCTCAACATTCAGTACTGATATATTTCTATTCTCTAAATCACATCAAAACACAAATATGGTCAGACTTAACCTTTTTTCCTTTTATTCCCTGCCTGGCCGCCCTCTTATATTTCACCATCAGATTTATTGAAACTTATAAACATAATGATTTTAAACAAATGGCAACAGACCTGAACCACGTTGGAGAATAATAAACTGAGGATAATCAAACCGACCGTCAGTTCTTGGGCCTCGTCCTCCAGAAAGTGTAGAAGAGAGGAAGTAGTCATCACACGCCTCAGAATTGGACATGCCAGTTGACCCATGGCTACCTGATGGCAAGTGAAGATCCCCCGCAGTGTCAACTCTGTAAAGTGGCTCTCACAGTGAGCCATATCTTTGAGGAGTGTCCTCGCTACAGGAGAGAGATGAAAAGACGTGGTGTACCTCGTCAGCTCTGTGAGGCACTAACAGATAACGAACAACGTATCAATAGTACCATTGAATTCATTAAGAACATAGGGCTAATTCATGTAACCTGAACTAAATTATTTTTTCTCACAAATTTTGAATATATTGACTTAATTTCTATTTACTCTACACTTTTTTCTCTCTTTTCTTTTTCTTCTCGATTGCAATTTATATATATATTTTTAAACATATTTAATTTTATAATAGTAATTTTATGATTGAAAAATAAATCAACTAGTACAATTTGAGGGCAATGATAACCGTCAGTAGTTTTTTGTCCCTAAACCCAAAACAAAAACAACTCTCTGCCTGCCCATTTCTGACAGATGGGAAAGAGGAAGAGAATTTTCTAGAGATACAAATTTTTTCTAATGCAAGAGGGAAGGTTGAGATTCTCTGTGGGTCCGTCATGAAATAACTTTTGACCCACCCAGGCCTGATTTAAACCTGTACCTCTAGACTCGAGAATGATAAAGCTGGTGTGTGGCCAGTGTGTGTTAGTGTTAAACACACTGAGCTACTTTATAGTTACCATCAGTCAAACCTCTCATCTACATATCAGTCCATTCATTTTGTTTTGTATCTGTAGCATTTAATTGGTGAGCTTGTTTCCCATGGCTGGTATTGATTAGCACTGATCTGGCTTGTGCTCTTAGCATTTAAATAAATGCTACATATAAATATATGAGGTTATAATTTAACTGTGAGCTGTGATTCTGTTTATTCAAATTTTTCATATTATTTAAAGCTTCTAGCTGATAAAATTTTGTCACTATTAACCAACAATTTTTTTTGAAATTGTAAAGTACTTCTCGGTTTCCCAGAATGTATTTTAATTTAAACTTTTTGTTTCAAATTTTAATGTTTAATATTTTGAAAAATATGAAGTACAAGTAATTTTCTCTTTCAAGTACAAAAATTTAAACTTTAAAAAGGCTATTGATGTTTTTAAAAAAAGTTTAATTTCTCTCATTTAGCATTAGTAAACAAATAAAAAAATTATAGTAAATTTTATTTGTATGGTTGCTTAAAAATGTAAAATAAAGCCTTTAGAAGAAAAATTTGAAACCATCAAAAAAGTAAATTGAAAATTTTGCATATGTTATAAAGAAAATAATGTTTTTATATCAGTTTTGGGAGATCTTTATATTAAATTCATTGATTATTGGCGCAACAGATGCATGTAACGGCCCTTGGCCTGCTCAATTTCCTTTCCCCAGTCATCCCTGTTGGCTGTGCACCTGATGGATATGCCATTTTTTCTCAAATCTTCTACATTATCTATCCATCTGGCCTTCAGTATTCTCCTAGACCTAACTCCCTCTGGCTTCTCATGATAAAGCCTTCATTTCATTCGCTGCACTCGAGCGAAGTGGGAGATAGACCATCACCGTACATTGAGTATACCTCGCTGTTTGTTCTCAAGTGGGGGACTCCTTCCTCCAGTTTAGGCCCTATTATCCATCAGCATTTTCCTTTCAAACCGATCTATTCGTTCAGCAGATGCCTTTGTTAGAGTCCATGTCTCGCACACATATGTTGTAACTGGCCAAATAATTGTTTTGTATATCCTAAACTTCATTGTACGACTTAACAATCTACTTTTTAGAAGGCTCGCTACTGAAAAGTACTCTCTGTTGGCAGCCATTATCATTTATATTAAATGATAGATTAAATATGTAACAAATTAAACATTGTATTTATATAAAAAAGTTCTAACTTAAACCTCACTCCAGGGCACATGAAAATTAATATTTTGGAGTCATACAAATATTTTGTTAAATGTAAGTACTAGTTTTAACCAATATTCACAATCTTTTATTTGAATCATTTTGTAGAAATAGGAAAATCCCTTTATATTATTAAGTCAATAAATTCCATATATCTTAGTAGGAGTTTCTCCCAACTCAAGAGCTGGGGCTATTGATTTGTTTACTCTAACTATAATGGAATCCACATGCATTACTCTTTGAATTAGACATAAATAGATTATTAGTAAAGCAATTTTTCCCATTTTTATGAAAATACTAATTGTAGAGCTGGTTTCCTCATACCTTTAAAATTTATAATACCTTTTTAAATTGCACTTAAAACAAGTGGTTTAAGAAATATAGGTATATTCCTTGGGTATGTTATAACCACTCACATTTGTTTATAAAATTCCAAAGAATCACATTTATTTATAAAAAGTAATAGACTTCTCATGATAATGTACAAAAACTATCTTTTGACAATAAATAAAAAGTAAAACCTCCTATGCACTGCTGATATCGCAGGTATTTGCGAATCATGAAAGATAAATATTTATTTGACGCGATAAATTTATGTTCTATAAGATAATTTTTAATTTATTTTAAAAAAGATTCATTGTAGAATAATTCTTTATACAATGCATATATAAATTTATAAAAAATCCTGCTCTATGCTTGCTGTCATTGTTTTGATCAGACTTGAGAAAAACTAAATTACTTTTTTCCCTCCCCATGTAATGCAGTTTACTCCTAAATTCTTAGAGTACTTTATGTTTTATCATTTTCTGCAAAAACCTGAAAATTAAAATTGAAAAACTGGAGGTAAAAAATAATTTTACCTATTTAGAAAACAGTAATGTACCTTAAGTCTACAAAATTAATTGGGGTAATTTATTAAAAAGAGTAGTAATACACGTATATGTATTGTCCTTTAAAAATAAAATTCTTATAATAGAATAGTTAGGCTATGCCTATTTCCATACTCTAATTGGGTGCAGATCAATCATATCAAGAAAATAGTACATAATAATTATAAATATTGTTAACCTTCTACGGTTTAACACAAAAAAGGATTGTCTTAAAAACATTTTTCATTTATTCTCATTGGTATAATCATTGTAAATCCAAATAGTCAGCTTCATTTCCAAGCTGGTTCTGGAAGTCTTATTACTGCCCTTCACTGACATATTATTTCTGTATCTCCAGTCTTTTGCCTTGACCTCCAAGACATATTTTGAATAATGTGCACTTCTAGACTACCAGCTGTTAATTGTAATACTAAATAGTGGCTTCAATGATCAATAGTTGCTCTGTGATTTAACAGAGTGTGTTACTGATTTCATGTTACCGTTTATTCATGTCAGTTTTAACTTTTTTATCCTGACTTTTAATATTTTTTTCTGATTATTTTTTTGTATTGGAGGATAAAGAGATTTTTGTAATGTTATGTTAATTAGATAAAAAGTGTCTTGAGAAGTACTTGTCATCAGTGGCGGCCTTAGAAATTCGGTGTCTCTGGGAAATGTATTTATGAGGAGAAAATGAGAAATTTAAAGGCCTTTGTATATTGTATTATTTGAATTGCAATCCATTCAGTATGTCTCTAGTTTAGTTGCTTTATTTATAGGTTTTGTAATTTTTATAAAAACTACCCAGTAGTGAGTTTCCTCCAGTTTGGTTCTCCCCGGATACACTGTTTATCATTATCTCAAAAAATGTAGATGATTATAATTATATTATTATATACTTGTATTAATGCTGATAAAAATTAATTTTGGAAGAAAATGCACAGTTTTATTATTTATGTGACCTCAAAAAGAAACTGTTTATTTGGTTTGTTAGAATACCATAAGGGCTACTAGAGAATGATGTTAACAAATGAACCTGGATTAATAATGGTGGTATACAGCCATGCTTAACAATTATTGATGGGACCACAAAGGGTTGTGAAATGATGGTAAAGAATGTTTATGCATATAAATGGACTCAATTGAATAAATTACCTAAGATTTCTATTATGAGTTATTTCGTAGTTTGTTTACTTCCCATATTTTTGGAACTATGATGACATTTATAGTAAATATTGGATGTAAGCATGAATAAAGAGCTTCAGAGGATAGAACTAAAGATTAGATGCTTACCTGAATTGAAAATTTGTTAACATAAGTGCATGTATGCAAAGCATAAACCAATTATGGTATAAAATCTTATACTTTAAAAAAACCTTATTCTGTACACTTACTGTTGATTATTTAATCCATTATTCTCATGGTGCAGGAGTTTACCATTTGTTTTTTAGTATCCACTAAAATTGGGATTTTCAATAATGGGTACGATTTAATTATTAATTTGTTTATTTACACTAGAATTATTTTGAGTATCTTGGCAGTTTACATGTTAAAAGCTAATTACATGTTAATAATATTCATCTTTGTGTTTTAGAAATACTGTTGGATGTTATGAATATTGTATTGGAAAGTATGGATATTGTCACGGGGGAAAGAATAAATGAATATAATGAATTTTCTCATCATATCATACCTGTTGGTAGTTACTATATAAAAAGGCGGAGTGGTTCTCTATTGAAAGAAAAATGTCATTTGAAACTACAAGTAGAAAGGAATCTTATGAAATATCAGCATTCAGGTGAGCTACATTTAATTTAAACTATTAAAAAAACGTAATTATTATTTAACTTTTTATATTTTCACTGTCTTATTGTTTTTATTTTTATTATTTTATTATTATTTTTTTTTTTTGTAGTTCCAGATATTACAATTCATGGAACATTGTCTACTCTTGCTGCAAGACTTCTATTAAATGATTACAAATTGATTTCTGGCCTATTATCTTTTAACATAGGAGAGTGTTTAGATGATTTATTAATTCCTGAAATTACTCCAGCAATCATGAGGGATGATGATGTATGTTCTTTTTTAAATTTTCCTAAAGTTTAAAGTAATTAATAATATAATCATTACTAACAATTGTAATATTGTTTCAGTTCGATATAGTTTGGACTAGTACTTCTATGAAGTTTGAACTTGTTGATGTGAGTGTTTCCCTCGTTCCCAGTAATGCATTTGATCTTGCATGCATTAATTTCATCAAATCCAGCCTTACTGTGGACAATTATAGCAATAGAACTCAAGACATTGACCTGGTTTCTGAAGAAATTTTAATAACTGATATACGTTTTCTTGGTAAGAATAATAATTAATTTTGATCAATAGTTTTAATAGATATAATGTTTATTGATGAAATGAATTAAATCTAATTGCAGTGTGGACATTTTAGACATTGTTTTATTGAAATGTCTTATTACAATAAGTTAAAAATTTTAAATTAAGATGCAATCATAGCAAATATTAAGTATCTCTCCCAAATGCTCAAAAATTAAAAGTGGGGAAAGAAGTAAAATAAAACTTTTTTGTTTTTTCTCTTCAGCTTCCTCACCTTTTAGGCTATATACGTGGTGTTCCCGGGTCAGAGGTGAGGGCAGGAGATTAATGCCAGAGTTAAAAGTTCCCCTGATATCGGGACAAGAATTCGTAATTATTTTATCAAATTCTCTTCCATCAGGTTGATGGACAACGTAGTGCTATGCACACACATTAGCCCGCTCGGCCATCTGCCTCAAATAAAATAATACAACTAAATGTTTAAAAAAATTATAAATAATTTATTTAATAAATCAATCATGTACTAAAATTTTGGATACAGAATTTTCTCTCCCAAGCTGCTCATCTTAAATAGTTAACTAAATTGATAAAATTATATAACTAAGAAATAATTCTTTTCTGTTTAGGAGTTAGTTGAGTTCCTACTTTGACATAATGAATATTCCAATTATTTTTATAATTGCAGGTAGAACAGTCATTATTAGTATTAATATGGTCGATATTTTTATAGTATTATGATGTATGATTGGGTTCTAACTTTAAGTAGTAATCTTTGAAGAATGTTAGGATTTTTTTCAAATATTTAAGACCATTCTTGATAATATATATATTTTTTATTTCTTAAATTTTCAGATAAACCAGCCAATAAAAGATCAAATGTTTTCACTAATATACTACAACCAATACATTGTTATAACAACTCTGACACTGTTCAAGCCCAGATCCATCACAGGTAAATTTGATTCATACAAATTAGTTCCGTGTACAAATATATGCATATATTTTACAATAACTGTCATATCTTGTTATAGGAAAAATATTGATTCATCCAAGTTTACAATATTATTGAACAATATGCGACTAATGGCCATAGTGGATTGGTGGGAATCAGTCAGAGATTTTATTATAACTAAACCGGACTATATACCACCAGGTATTAATTGATTCCAGATGCTTATTTCTTAAATTATTTATAAAGAAACAGAAAGATTTCTGGTATTTTAATTAGAGATATTGAAAAAATATCGATATTTTTATTGATATTTACTCCTCCCTACTCTTTAAATATTAAATATATCGAGTCCTGGTATTTTAAAAAAAATTAATGTATTGAATTACTATTTTGACTTATCAAACTAATTATTAGATGTGTTGCTTTATATGAACATCCATTTCTAGCTTTTGGCTCTTCTTATGGTGGAAAACTAGCCAATATTCATAGTAAATAAAAAAACTATTATCATTATAATTTAAACAGTGAGATAATTATGCAGTGGTACTGTTTATGGTTATTAAAAGTCTTGTTAAGTACCAACATAAATATAAGTATGAAAATTATTAATATTATCTAAATTATTATATTATGTATGAAAATCTTATTTTTCAATAATAGAAATGATAAAATTAAATTTTTTTTTCTGTTTCCTACTTATGGAGGTTCATTGCTCAAATTCAGACTTAATATTTTAAATATTTAAGTGCAAGGGTGTAGAATGTTAGATGTATTAATACAGCAGATTGTTTAAAATATTTTTCTATAAAGCTTGCCTAAGGGAGAGGAATTCCAAGATAAGTCTTAATAACTGAAGTTAAATGCTCTATTCAGCATGATGAATCAGTAATTATTGCTCTGCTACTGGATTTCTGTTTAGTAATGGAGTCTCTTTTTCTGCACATGAGTACTGATTTTAAGTGATTAGATATTGGCGACCATGTTTCAGAGTAATTGGTATAAAACCATGTTGATAAATACATTTGATGCTACCAAAAACAGTGATGATGAAATGAAAAGTAGGTTTTAATTTACAACTATCACAAGCGGGATTGTATATAATGAACTACTCTGACACTGTATGAAAATTTTGAGGAATGCGAATGGAAACTACAGGTTTATAAAAGTTGTTTTTTATTAGGGTTGTATTGAGAGGCGGTGGTATACTAATAGAGCTTCCTGATTCACTACTCTTATTAGTATGAATTCCTCTTTTTCAGTATCTTAGAGCAGGAGTCTAAACTTTTTCACCCTTGGGCCACATTGAGATCTCTCTGAAGTGATGGGGGAAAAAAAAAATTTGATCTATAAATGATACATTAGTAGTAATTTGAGCTTTCTAAGAGAAACTTCTCTTGAAATAAAAGTTGCAGTAACCTTGTGTTTACTAAATTTCATATTTCTTTGATCCACCATGTAATCAAAAAAACTTTCTTGGTACATATTGGAGGTGCTCGAGTGTCGGATCAAGTCCGCAGCCTATAGTTTAGAGAATCTTAACTCAAGAGTATACATTCTTTCTGATATATCGGTTTTAGGTTTTGTTTCTGCAATCGTCATTATTATTAATATTCATAATATAAAAAGCTGTCAGCAAATAGAAAAATAATTAAATAATATTAGTTTTAAATTTAAATAAAGTTTTATTTACTGTGGGTGTTTCCGACATATAATTATATATTATGAAGTTTCAGCTTTGCACTGCAATTTACAACATGACTTAAGTCCAAAAGAAGAATTACAGGAAATGCCATTTGAATTAAAGTTGAATATAACTGATTCTGAAATAGTAGTTGTCGAAGATTCTTCTCAGTGGGACTCAAATGCTGTTATCTTGAAGGTATTTCTTATTATTGTTAATTATTATCACTTTCATATTTATTTTTATATACCTACCATCATTAAGAATCTCATTAGCTTTTAACACTATTTTCACCATCTTTAAGCTAGAGACCTCACGTTTTCATTGAAATGTGTTCCATGAGCATTGTTTCCTAATGGGTGGATCTTGATCTTTGCACTATATGATCATGTAAAAAGTTGCAAGTTATAGACATGGCATAAAATTAACATTCCTCTTCCTTATTTTCCATTCATGGAGACCTGATTTAATTTTACTCAACTTTGAGATGTTTTCTTTCCATTCAATTTTTTCTCATTCATTTAGTAATTCTCACTTCATTTCACTAGCCAGTTGAAGGACCTTGGGGCGATATTGTACCAGCTGTCTCTTTTCCTGCAGGATAAAATTTAGTTTTTAGAGGAGCTTGCTACAGATTTTTGAATTTGGAAATCAGTAGTAGCAGTAGTAGTTTCTTCTGTGTTTGGTGAAATTGAAAATATTTGAAATAAAAACGGGAAAATTATAGTGATTTTGAGATCTGGTTCGGTGGTGAGTAGTAAGGAGGTTGTTATCTGGTCGTTGGCCCTGTGTATGTAGTTTCATAATTGTGGGTTAATGGTTGACTGTAGTGAATCATTGAAGAGAATGATGGTTAGGGTGATCAGTCAAAATAAAAAATAGTAAAAATAAATAATTATATTTATTTTTGTATTTGCCGACGTTTCGGCCTGAAGTTCAGGCTTTCAACAGGGCTGCTCAATCCAAGAAGTGTCGAAAGACCTTTTGGTCTTTTGGTCCACCCGCAATTATCAAACTTATTATATTTTTTAAACTAAAGGACTTCACAAATAATGAAGACCTCAAAGCAGCAGTGATATCCTCACTCAAGTCTGTGGCATTAGAAGGGTATAATATCAACATTTACAATACTGGTACCGTGTTACAATAAATGCATTAACAATAATAGGAATTGTATTTAAGCAACTTTGAAATTAAAGCTTTTTTTATATGTGTGTGTGTGTTTGTGTGGATATATATATATATATATATATATATATATATATATATATATATATATATATATATATATATATATATATATATAATGGGAGAAAATTCTAAAATTAGATTTGTTTTTAGTTTTTATAAAAATTTTATTGCCTTCTTTTTCCAGAGTACAACTGTCTTTACATACCATCCTACGGAAATAATGAAACCAATTTCTTGTAATCTAAATCATTGTGAAATGTTTTCCTGTATTCTTGGTATGGAGGATGAAACAGCTTTATCTATTATTGATCCTGTTACCATAAATATGGATATAATTAGAAAAAATAGTGATGGAAACATTTTGAGAATTTTAAGGGTATTTAAACATTTTGTTAATTCAATTTAGTATCCAAGTTTATTATTGGTTTTGTGTAAAATTCTATTACACTGGTTTTAGGTACACATGGCTCAATTAAATCTTCGTCTGTCTTACCACGATGTCAGAATGTTTAGTCAAATGCTAGAATCTTTACCTCAACAAACTCAGTATGCTAAAAGTCAAATAGCAGAGGAAGAGCATCCAGTGAATTTCCGATGTAATAAATTTGTGTTTTTCTTTATATATTTCATTGAAGTATTTGTACGAGCATTTTTTATAATTTAATTAGTCTATTTTACTAATAAGTGAATCGTGTTAATTATTTTACTTTTTTGTACTATTTTGTATTATGTAATTTTAACTATTTTTAAATATCTTAAGAAATGGATTTATATTTTAGATCAACTAGATAAGTTAAAGGCTCTGGGTTTTCACATAGATGACTGTTCAAAGGCATTAATGAATTGCAATGGACATCTTGATGATGCTGCCCTATGGCTTACACAAAACGCAGTTCCTATAAGTTACCAAAACAGTCCTAGTGTTAGTCCTAACCATCAGATAGCAGAATCTATATTTTCTTTCAACAACATGGAGGTAGTTTTAATTATTATTTATTTTTCAATAAAGATTTATTTTAAATAATGCACTATCCTGAATTAATAATTTTGTTTTCTGTTAGTCAGAAGTAATACACTAAGCCCGTTAATCGTGGTAGGAGGCTGAGCTTGATATCTACCTTGAATTTATGCCTTGTTATGTTTTACAGTTACAGTTTTTGTTTTGCCTGTGTGTTAATTTTTTCGCAATTTATTATAATAACATTTAGAAGAAGATTCTGCTGAATAAAAAGTCAATGAGTTATTCACCCAAGAAAATATTACACTGTAATTTTTAAGATCTAATCAAATTTAATTTTTGTTGTTTATTCAAATTTACTTTCTTTGCAAGGAAAGGATTTTTCAAGACCATGAGAAGGGAAGAGATCGTTAAACCAACACAATATTTTTTTCTTTTATTTAAAAACAAACATAATTCATTCCTTTGTTGATAATTATAAAAAATGCCATTGCTTTTCCTTCTTTAACTTTTATACTTTCCAACTTAATACATTTATATTTACATCTGTAATTCCATTTATATTTTTTCTCCTACAATAGTTTCACCTTCTTAGAAGTAATTGCATGATTCTTAAACAAAACTTAAACTATTGCGATTCTTTATGACTCTGAACTAATAATTAGATAACCAAGAAGTTTCCAGGTAATTAGAAATAGAAAACATTGTTAGTGAATGAAAAAAACTTAGTTTTTTGTGCTCTGTGCTCTGTAAGTATATAAATTAAGTGATATCTCAAAAATGATTTGAATTGTAAATAGTGCTCACAAAAAACTATACAGTCATTCTCTCTGACTGTTCTCATTTACCCTCTGCCATATTCTTGTTGGTGAGCTGTGGTGCTATTTGATTTATCGTATGAAATTTTTAATATTGCTTGTTGTTTTCAGGTTGTAATGGATCATGCATTATTGTTTATCATTGATGATTGTCAAGATGCCGATGTTCCCCTTGCTGAAATTTCTTTATCAAAGCTAGATATAAAACAAGATTTAGAAAAAAAATCTGGATTATCAAAAACAGTGTTAACGATTCACTACTACAACAGATTTCTTTCTGGGTGGGAACCATTCATTGAAAGTTGGAGGTAATATGAAAGCTTTATAAATCTACTAACTTTATAAATCATGTCATTCAAAGATTATTAATTGTCACGCAATGTTGTCTTTCAGTTGTACTTTATGCTGGGAGCATTGTTTTGGTCAAAACCTCACAAAAACAAGACTAGAACTAACACTGGCATCAGTAGAAGTTCTAAATATGAATATTACTAGTTCTCTTGTTGAACTATATAAGAGTGTCAAAGAAATCTGGACTCAGGATTATTATAATCAAAAGGAAAGGTTTGTAAATTGATTAATGAAAGAATTTTTTATGTAAGAATATTTTTTTACTATAGTTAGGGAGGAAGTAAAAGATTTAAGAACTGAAAAAATAATGAATGATTTGTAAAAGAAAATGTGTAATGTTATACTAGTGTGACTAGTTGTCTTGCTTTATGAACAAAAAGAGTTTCCTGATAAACAAAAATTAGTTTCTATAAAATCAAACTTACAAAATACCTTGAGGCTTTATTAATTGATGATATTTATATTGCGTGAGTGGTAATATTCTTGTCATGACTTTAATGAATATTTATTAAACCAATACTTTATTTTCATTTCTCATTTTTATTTTCCTTTTATAGCAGTATTTTTTAGCAAAAATTAATTATTTAAGAATTTTCCTAATACATGTTAGCTTTGATAGCTATAAACTATAAATTTTGTTATAAATATTTATTATGGGTGATAAATATTCAGGACGCAGTCATTGTAAAAAAAATTTAATTTTATATAGCATTTCCAAGTCAATTTCAACCTTTTCCAAATCAAATTCAACCTTTTCCAAGTCAAATTAAACCTTTACCATTTCAAATTCAACCTTTTCCAAGTCAAATTCAACCTTTTCCATTTCAAATTCAACTTTCGAATTTTTGTCAATTTTCGATTTTTTTCGAAATGAAGGCCACTTACTATATTATCGAAGGCATAGCTTTTGAAAAATACAAAATTTTGATAACGCGGTTGCATACCCATTTATTTTAACATTTTAGATTTTTTCAGTGTGATATTTCTATGTCATATTCAATTATTTCCAAGTCAAATACAACCTTTTCCAGATCAAATTAAACTTTTTCCAAGTTAAATTCAACCATTTCCATTTCAAATTAAACCTTTTCCAATTCAAATTCAACTGTTTTCATTTCAAATTAATGTTTTAATTTTTTGTAAATTTTATATATTTTTTTTAAATAATGGCCATCCCCTCCCCCCTCCAATATGAAAGTCTATTATTATGCTCTCCTAAGTAGAATTTTCACTTACGGATATCGATTTATTATACCTATTCGGATTTATTAGGTACTAGTATTATGCTGTCCTGCACCTAGTTTTGAAAACAACCTCCATTTTAAGATTACGTGACTGTGTTTCAAATCATTTAAGTTTTTTTGACTTATTCGATATAAGGGTGTATTTTTATACACACCTATATACACCTTACATCGAATAAATCAAAAAAACTTAAATAAGTCGAAACGCAGTGGCGTAATCTTAAAATGGAGGTCATTTTCAAAATCTACAGCTCCGGAAACATAAAAATACACCCTCATATGAAAAATATCCGAAAAACTTAAATAAGTTGAAACGCGGTGGCCTAATCTTAAAATGGAGGTCGTTTTCAAAATCTACGGCTCCGGAAACATAAAAGTAGACCTTTATATTGGATAAATAAAAGGATAAAATAAAATTGGTTCGAGCACTGAAGGCTTTCAAGTACTGACACTTTTGGTAGGTAAGTGACTATTTTATGACTTACCTACCAAATGTGTCAGTACTTAAAAGCCTTTACTGCTCGAACCACGCCCTGATGATCCACATTCAACCCAAGCGGATTGAAACGTTGGCACAAACAAAAAAATTTTTACAATGACTGCGCCCTGAATATTTTTCACCCATGATATGTATAACAGTCTAATAGCTTCCTTTAATAAATATTTATTGATAATTATTGGCAGTTATTATTTTCAAGTTATGTAATTGTTAATATATATTAAATTTCATCAATGAATAACTTTTTATAGACTTATAAATATACATCCTCAATTACGACTTAACGTAGTCCTTATTTTATCTATCATTGTTTTAGCCTAAGTAGAAACAACTCTGGTGATTTTAAAAATTCTATCTCTAGCCCTCCTGGATATAGAAGAAGATCACCTTTTATACCCTTCGCTGTCAAAAATGACACTGGATCAAGACTCATCTTTGCCCCGATAACATCCTCTTTGGAAAGGTTATAATTTATCATCAATTATTAAAACTAATTTATTATTTCTAACGTTTTCATATTTCTAATTTAATGCTTTGTTTTATTTTGCAGTTTGAATGGTCATCGTAACAATAAAGTTGCAGAGACCAATTTGCGATGGATTCTCGTTGAGCCTAATTCGACAGTACCTTTTTCATTTACTGAAAGAGGTCATTGAATAATTTAATAAATTATATATTTTTATGATATTGATTGTCACCTAGTTTTAATTTTTACATTATTTGATTTGTTTTAATTTTAGGAAAAGTGAGGCATCGGGATACCCATAAATATCAGTCTCACCAGATTAAGGTCAAGGTTGAAGGATGGCAGTCGACTTCTCCTGTAACTGTGGACAGGGTAGGCGTTTATTTTCGCCAAGCATTTCCAGACATTAAGGAACTAGTAAGATATCCTGTTTTTCTTTTTAGAATTTAAGTTCTACTTTATGTTCTTTTACAAGGAAAAAAATGGGAAAATCAAACATAGATTTATTTGTATAACCCATATTACTTATAAATCTTATATTTAATAACAATAAAATCATTCAAATGGTATACTTTGATCTGTAAACATTCATGTATGCCTACAGGCCTTTTAAAATTATTTTCTTGTCGAATTACAATGTGGTATTATTTCTTCACTTTAAGTAATTATCTAAATTATTGATTATATATTTGTAGGTTCAAGATATGCCACAAGCGAGAATTGTCTTAGAAGTAACACTTGAAGGTTCTGCTAGAAAACTTATCACTGTTAGGTCAGCCCTTCAGATCCACAACAAATTGGACCACATGGTTGAAATAAAGTTAAACAACTCTCATTTTCAAAAAACACGTATGTCTATCTGAATTTTTATATTGAATTAATTATATTATTTTATGATTTTTTTTTTTAATGATAATTTAAATATTATAGTTCCTATGCATTTGACTGTCTGCGCTGGTGATGTTCTATCTGTCCCATTGACTCATGCCCTGGCAGTACTCACAGCTCGTCCACTTCACCCTCAACGGAACTACAGTTTCTCAACCAAACCAGTTCAGTGGCAACATGTAACAGGACCTGGACAAATATTTTATGAAACTCGTCAATGTAACACCCATGCTAATGTTCCATTTAGGTATTGAGTTATAATCATTTGGGTTGTTTTGTTTTGTTGGGTCAATTATTCACAATTGGACTATTTTAAGGGAAATATAGGCTGTATCTCTTCTTTATTTGTTTCGATGTTTTATTCTTTTTAAGTTGGGGTAAAGATTACACGATAAAGCATATATTAATAAAAGCCCAAATCTTTCTCACATATATTTCATGCTGGGCTTTGATAGTAAATTTGTATACTATTATACATACTGTGTTTTGGCTTATAATCATTGAGTTCAATTTTGAAAAATAATATTTATTTTATTAGCTAAGCTCATTTATTTTTATATTATTTTTTTTTTTTAGTATTCTTCCTCTTACTAAAAATTTCATGACAGAATTTGCCGAAGTTCATTCTAAATTAAATTTATGAATATAAGCATCATTGTTAGTTTATATTAATATTTTAAAATTATAAATAACTGTTTTATTCAAAGCAAATTATTCTTTGAATTATAGTTTATCAATAAAAATATAGACTATTTGAATTTAACTATTTCTTTGCATATTCACAAATGAAAATTTAATCATTTAATTTTGAAGTCATACCTAAAATACCTATTAGATGATTCACATATTAAATTGTTAGTAGTCCTTTGAAAAAGGAAGAAGTATAATTAGTTGTATAATATGTGCATTGACCATTTTATAGCTGGCTACTATATCAATTCCTAATACACCTTTTTAATCAAAATAATATTTTCTATTTATTGTATGGATTGTTTTGAAATGTGGTATTATATTTAAATGTTCTAGGTTCTGTACAGCGATTAAGCGAGAAAATTATCCTGTTGAACAAGCTCCTCCTCTCGCTCCATTACTTGCCCAAGTGTGGCTGCAGCCTGCTCATTACATTATTCTTCAACCTCCTCTCACTGTCGTTAATCTCTTGCCTTATGAACTCTTTTATACAATGAAAGATTCTGGTAAAGGAAAGAACATTATTAAACCTGGTCACCAACATTCTTCTTCTGAGGTAAATTGATAAATGTGGATTTATATACATTTTTCTAGATTTATGAATTTTCTGTCAGCTCAACTGATTGATGTTTAACAATAAAAGATGCATCCTATTAATATTAAATTCTTTACATAGTCATATTGATATTGGTCATTTATATTGATTTATAATATGCTTTGAAGTACTATTTGCTTTCAGGTCGATTTGGAAAAGTGTATTGAATTGGTTTTCACGCTAGAAAACTTTCCTCTGGGCAGTTCTCTTGTTATTCCAGAATTTACTAATGGATTCCACTCTCGAGTTAGACTCCAAGATAGTTCTGGGCGCCGACTTCATCTTCAGGCTGCAGTTACTTCTCATCCAGGAAATGTTATTAAGGTTAATCCTGTTTATATTTTTTATTTATGAAATAATTTTCAGAAACAGTTTAAGTCTATTCTGTTCCTTTTGTTTGATTAATATTACAACATAGGTTATAGAAATAATTGAAACTTAAGAAATAGGTGTACCTGCATCAATGTTTTAATCCCTATAAAAATGAAAAAGTTATTAATTTGTTGAGCATTAAACTTCAGTGTATTTTATTTATTGTTAAGTTAATAAGAGCAATATATATTTCTGTGTCAGGTTTCTATATCAGCTCCATTTTGGCTTGTCAATAAAACAGCGCTACCCATTGTGTTTAAACAAGAAGGTGTTAAAGGTGAAACTGCAGGGCAGTACCAAGAACATGAGGTACTTGTTTGTTTATGTCATTTCTATGTAATAAATATTAATAGAATTGTTATTTACTTATGTTTATTTATAGATGGCTCGAATGGTTGCCCCACTATTGTTTTCATTCGCGGATACTGATGCAAGTCCAACTGTGATAGCAAGAATTGGTAATGGGGTGCACCCAGATGGAGTACCTATGGTAAATTAACTCATATGTTTCTCTATCTAAAAATAAATCTCAAAAATATAATTGATTGACGACTACACTATTCGTCACGTGAGCTCACTCGTATTGGTACTTTGGATGTAAAAATCTTATATAGTAAAAATGTTCTTGAATCATCTAAAAAATTCTATATTCTTAAAATAAGTACATAATTAATAAAAGCCTAAATAACAACTGGTGTATAAATTTGAACAGGAACATGAAAATGTCTTATCACATTGCCTCTGTACATTGTTTAGCATACATGTTAATTTATTCTACAACATCTGTCTCTAATTCATTGTTATGAAATCAGACTATTTATCAATTATTAATAAACCTGATGACTTCTTTACAATATGCCCCTTTTATTATTTTTGTCTGATTCTTCACCTCAAGTTGGTTATGGATATTTAAAAAATCACTTACTCAGGATATTTGTCCAACCTGGAATACTTGGAAATACTGATTTGTTATTTTTATTTGTATGCCAAATTAAGGCTGTTTATTTTTGTTAGATTCCTTAAAAAATTCATAAGTCATATATTAATTTATTCACTTATATTGGTATTAAAGAACCTAATTTTTTTTTCTTTGAAATTATTTAACAATTTAAAAAAGAAAATCAGTAACTCTTAATCTAAACAGTTAAAATTGAACACATTTTTTTAGAAAATATTTTGCTATAGTTTTGTTATAATGATTTGAAAACCTAAGAAACATTATTATAAGACCAATTAAGTTAATTCCTACTTGAAATGAAAACTATGGTTTATATTCCTTTAGTGGTGTCGATTTTTCACTCTTCAGCCGGGACTACAGATGCGACGGTTAAAAGTGCATCTTAACGATAATCGTCCTGACATGGTTTATATGATAGGAATTGAAATAAGACAAGGAAGAGGAAGATACAGGATGACTAAGATTGTAACATTGACCGCTCACTACCAAATTTATAATAAATCCAGCTATAAGCTGCAAATTGCTCAGAGGAACTTCATCTCAACTGTTGTAAGTTTTTAAGCTCTAGAATAATATATTAAAATTATGTGTTAATACAGTATGTTTAAAATATATATAATTTCTTAAGATTATTTTTTGATATTCATAAATATACTTTGACATCATTGGACTGGATTCACAAGCACAAAATCAAATCGATCATGCCTTAATACTAGGAAATCTATGGTTTAGAGAACTCTTCTATCATGAAGGGTTATTGATAGTCAAATTAAGTAAGTTAAAGAAATATTATGACAATATTTTAAATACAGGATATAATAATCTGTCTCCTCCTGTTTATTATCAGGGTGTCAAACTGTTCATAGAATAATGGAGTAAAGAAGAAGTTGAAATAACTCGGAAAATTAAAATTTTTTAAAGCACTGGGAACTGATAATATTCTTAGTGAACTAATTAAGGCATGCCGAGAAGCTTGAGTGTCTAAAATACATTTTTTGGTCAAAAAGATCTGGGAGAGTGAGAATTTATCAGAAGAATGGAAAAAATCTATTCTTATTCCAATTCACAAAAAGGATCTGAAAATGGATTGTAATAAATACTGAGAAATTTCACTCATTCCTGTATACTATAAAATATTCAAATTAATATTAACTAATTGAATCATGGAAATTATCGGATACTACCAATGTGGATTTGAATGGAATCGTACAACTATTTATCAAATATTAGAGAATCAAATGGTAAATTGTAGGGCAATGATGTTGGTCAAAAGCTTTGTATTAATTTGAAAAAAGCTAATAATTCCATTGGCTGTCAAAAGTTAATTTATATTCTAATTGAGCAGGCAATTTCAAAAAAACAAAACAAGTAAATCTAGTTAATTTATGCATGACGGAAATATTCAATAAAATTAGAATTGGAAATTACTTATTCGAAAAATTTGAGATTTGTTTGAGTTTTGAAACAAGGTGATTCCATTTCACGATTAGAACATAACAAAAAAGGTTTGAATGTGGAGGGAACAATATTAGTGGTTTGGTATGCTGATAATTTGGTGCTTTTAAGTGAAGATACATAAAACTAAATACAATAATTGAAAAGAAGATTGGTTGGGATGTTCAGTAAAAAAAATGGAAAAATATATAAATTATATTTATTTTTATTTTTGCCGACATTTCGGCCCCAAGTTCCTTCATCCAAAGGCCTTCATCAGGGCTAGAAAAAAAAAAAATATAGTAATGTTGATGATACCGGTAATGAACTGGTGTTGGAAATAAATATGGATAAGACATTATATATGGCTAGCATAAATAGATTTAATTTGGTTAATCTTAGTAGCTTTTATAGTAATTAGTTCAAATGTAATTTGTTTGTTTTTATAGAGTGATCCAGGAGCTGAATCAACTTACTTGATGGCTGTACCAAATTGTTACCTTCCATTCCATTGGCCTAGATTAGACAAAGATCAGCTTCTTTGTTTGAGGATAGTGGATGTTCCTAATTGTCTTTGGTCTGGTGGTTTCAGAATAGATTACAATACCTCTTTTCATCTTAATATTAGGTATTAATATTTAATAATATAATAATACGAGTATTAAATGTGTCACTTATTTCTCAAGTTAACCCTAATTGATTTTTAAGGAAACCCTAGTTCTGCTATTTGTTTTAGTGATAGTTGAAACTTTTTTTTTTTTAAAGTTATATTTGGATTTTATTCTTATATATTTGGATCAGTCAGTCTATATACATTTATTATGTTATGATTTATGAGATGTTAATTTTATAATTGTTTTAGGGATGCGGCTGGCAGAATGTATTTTCTTAGAGTAGATATTGTTCTGCAAGGAGCTACATACTTTATCATATTAACGGATGCTGATACCATGCCGCCTCCCATGAGAATCGACAACTTCTCTAAAGTTCCTATTACTATTCATCAAGTAATATATGAAATATTTATTTATATCAAATAATTGGAGTTTCATAAAGTTGCCTTTATCCACTCTATTCCTTTATTTATTTTTTCTAGGCATGTCTTACGAATACAGTTACAACTGTGCGTCCTGGTACTTCAACACCTTATGCTTGGGATGAGCCTACACAAGAACCTATAATGACTGTTATTGCTCCTGGTGGTGTGTCTGCTGAATACAATTTTAATAGGATAGGAGAAGGCCATGGACTCACTTATGAAAACTTTATTTATATAGCATTTACTGCAACTTTTAAAAAGTTTGTCTGCTTTGTTATATACATAATAGATCTAATCATTTTAATAATAGTTATGTAGAGTAAATTAAGTGTTTTTAAATATAGCATTTACTTTTTATATTGTCCCAATATTATAACAGTATTTTTTTTTTCTTTTCAAAAGAGCTTCAGAAGAATTTGTAGAGACGAAATTCTATCTGGACCTAAAAATCAGATTGTTATGTGTTCCTTGTTCAATAGAATTTGAAACTGTATTAATGGGTCAGGTGCCAGCCTAAATTTTATGCGAAATTCTCTTACATTGTCAGAATTTTTTTACTGATCCTTAAAATTTAAGGTTATAATAATATTCTTTATTTATGAAGAGAAAAATAGTTGGGGTGATCAGTCGAATAAGAAGGCAAAAATAAATGGTAATATTTATTTTTTTTTTACCTCACTACTTATGTTTCTCATACCTTGTTATCTGGTTCTTTTCTTAGCCCTGATGATGGCCTGAACTTCAGGTCGAAACGTCGGCAAATGTCAAAATAAATATTATCATTTATTTTTGCCTTCTTATATGACTGATCACCCCAACTATTATTCTCTTCATTATTCACGACAGTCAACCATTTACACACAATTATGTATCTTTATTTATTATTTCTCTATGTTGTTTTTTTGTTGGTAGGGAATATCTTCATTAATTCTTCATCAATTTCAATGATAGAGACCATCATTTTGATCATTATCTTCTCTTGCCAAAAAAAAAACTGCAACCCTTCAAAAAGTTTCAATTCCGGTGCAATATGTAAATCATAACTTGAAAAATTTCCAAAATCCATACAAAACAGAACAAAAAACTATCGAAATCAGACCATTTTAAGTAATGATACATGATTTTATTTTGTAGTCATGTTTAGTTTTATTTTGAATGAACCATTATAATTGAACAAGAAAAAAAATAAATAAATAAAATAATTCCTCTCTCTCATATATATTGCATTTACAGATTTCCATATCAAACTGGCATTTGTTCCCTGACCAATATACTATGTGAATTATTCTAACAGGCCAACTAGTTTTCTTGACATTCTCAAATTCTTTTTTTATTGATTCACACTGAATTTTATTTAACTTAATATTATATGGTGATTAACAGAAAAAATTTATAATCATTAAAACAAATTGTTTATCATCGTTAGCTAGTGCATGAAACCATTGTTCACTAATCAGAAAATGATTGAATAATGGAAAATTATTGATGTTTATTAATATTATTAGGGTAGTGGGGTAGCTCAGTGGTTGGGCACTGAGCTTCCAATGCAAAGGTCCCAGGTTCGAACCCCGGCTCATCGCGGAAAATTTATTTATCTGTTTCATTGGCCATGGGGCGACCCTGGGGTCGGGAGACCCTCCTGGTGCACACCCAGCCTCTATAGAGTGGGTACCCTTAATTAAAATAATTGGTTAAGGGGAAAAACCTGGCGATTGAGCGTGATCTCCGTCAAATTACCTCATTGCACAACCGTTGACCTAGAAATAGTGCTTTCCCTAAATAGTACTGAATCCCAGACCCTTCATGGGTTGTAGTGGTACAGGTTTTTATTAATATTTTACTACTTTGGTGAGTGGTTGTGTATTTTAAGTGCAAATGTTTCGTATAACAAAATTTTATCAATCTCAACTTTCTTTATTTTTTATTTATAATTTGAAAACAGCTAATTTCTGTTAATAGAAGTGATATAAACTCTAAAACTTTTACTTAATAAAAAACTGATTTTAAAATTATAAAATAATAATCAATTAGACACAGGAGTACTTATTAGATTGCATATGAAACATGAATAAAGGTGGTTTATCATAAATATAGTGAGGCGAAATCGAGGCTCACCACTTGAAACTCAGTCTGTATATTACCAGCGTATTCAAGGAATTCTTTGTACATACCTGCTGAACTAGTGTAATGAGATTTTTTAAAATATAATATGTAATACTAATATATAATATTCTATAATAATTTCTCATACTAAACCTTTTTTTTCTTTTTTAATTTTTTTTAAACTACTTCATAAAAAATTTAAATTGTAGCTTAAGAATTTTTTATGGAAGAAGAGCTGAGATAAATCAACATCACTTAGTTACTGAATATTTATATTATTCCTCTATTTCCTGTTATAATTATTTAATATTCACTTTTAATTCCAGTTCAAGTGACTCTGATGACATGTTGGATGTCGTCAAATCCCTCATATGTATATAATTCCTTAACCACCAACTTAAACTTAATTTTATCATTTCAACAATTTTACATACCCATAATTTTATTTCATTACATTTCATAATTTCACAAACATCACTATTTAACCCTCACACTATATCCATATCACTCTAACATTACCCTAAAATCAACAAAACCATATAATAACCTAACTCCCCCACACCTCCACCCCCATCCTCCCCACCCACTTTACAACCCACCCCCCCCCCCTAACCACCACCCACCACACCACACTCACAAACTCATATTTCCCACATCCCACACCCCTCAACTACCAACCACAACACACTACCCAACCTAAACCCCCCTCCTTATACCAACCCACAATCAAATACACCTACTACTACCCCCAACACCCACACCAACATCATACAATAACCCACCCAAACCCCACATCCAAAAAAATATAAAACAAAAACTAAAATTAACACATATTTCTCCCCCCTCCCCCCCTCACAATAAATTACAATAAACGATAAATTCACTTCCTGACATATACTACCCTCCCCCCCTAACACCCTACTCTAATTAGTCTTACCCTTAATAATTTATCATTATCCCCTTTTCCAAAAACAGTATGTGCTGTTTTCAAGCCTCAAACGCATTGGTGTAATAAAATTTCTCGCTACTACATATCAGGTATTTTGCTTACTAATTCTCATCTAAATTTTATTAAAACGAATTAAAATATCATTTTGTTTTATGATAAATATTTTGTATAATGCCTTAATGATGAATTATGTTATATAATGATGTAATTGAATTTTGTATATTTATTTATTGGTTTTATCACTCCATCTAGAGCAGAAAGGGGGAGCATCCCACATCTTATAACAAACTAATTCTAGTCTAAAAATTTTTTTATATATAAATTTTATTTAACCAGGATGTTAACTTCAAGATTTATTATGTGGGTTACGTCATATTCTTCGAAGTACGTTTCAGGCCACTTTGTCCATTTTCAAGCTTTGGAAATGATATCTTAGGATTGTATAAAAAAATTAAAATCACTCCAAATGTTAAGAAAACATTATCATCTTATTTTAACTGGCCAATGTCCACTCAAATCTTGAAAATCTAATATTAATAATTTTCCTGATGCTTTTTTTATGAAAAATTGGAAAATGTATATAGTACTTGTCCCAGTTACGATATAAAAATTGGGCACTCCTTAAATAGCGGGTCGGGACGAAACCTCGCTTGTTATCTAATGTTATATGACATAACCTCCCTTCTTATCTCCTGTAAGCTCAGTTATTACATTGTTTATTTTTGTTCCATTAGTGTGATTTTCGTCAAATTATAGTACATTGTGGGAATTGCCGTCTTAAGAAGAAGAGGCTATAAAATATTTTCAAGATGCTGGAATATATTTAATATAAATTTTATATATATATATATATATATATATATATATATATATATATATATATATATATATATATATATATATGTGTGTGTGTATATATATATATTGTAAAAAAAAAAGTATTTTTTTATTATTACATTTGTTTTTGTTTTTGTTTACAATTTCAATAATATGAATATAATACAATAAATATGAATACGAAGATAGAATTATCAGTGCCTTATCAGAATTATCAGTGTTATGGTTATAAACATTGGCAGATAGCAGTCGTTCCCGACCAGCTATTTATGGAGTACTAAAAATTGTGTTGGGAAACTTTAATGCTCAGATTAATAAGGAAAAGAAGCTAACACCTACCACAGGAACTCATAGCTCATCATAGAACTAATGACTATGGATACAGAATGGTCAGCTTTGTAAGTTCAAAATCCATGGATGTCATGAACACTATGTTCCCTCATAAAAATGTTCATAAAGAAACATGGCACTCTCTGTATGGCATCACAGCAAGTCTAATTGATTACGTGCTGCCATCAAAAAATTTTAATTGTGTAAATGACTTAAGATTGTATAGAGGATATGATGTTAACACGGATCATTGCCTCATTCTGTTGAAACTCTACCAAATGATAAAATGCACTGCAAAGAAACAACAAGTCCGATACAAGCAGTGAAAGGCTTAAAGATAGAAGAAATGATAAATAAGTTTTCTGAGAAGTTTCATGAGATAGTCATGAACTGAAAAGTTGGTACTGCGACAATTGAAAGTAGGTGGAGGTGTATCAAGGTAGGATTGACCTATTCTTCTGAAGAAGTGTATAGAGAAAAAACAAGACATCCTAGCCACTATTGGTTTGACAAGGGATGTGAGCAGACAATCCAGAAACTGAATGAAGTAACATTAATATGGATTAGTCGAAAGACATGGTTCAACTACTAAGGAGTACAAAGATGCCAGGATGCACACGAAGAGATTCGTTAGAAGTAAGAAGAGGGAAGCATTAAGGAAACAGATTGAGGGAATTGAAAACTGAAGATGTAGAAATGAGTCCCGCAAGTTATACAAAATGGTGAATAGCAATAAGTGTGGACCGACGAAGAAAGCCACCTAATCAAAGACGACCATGGCAACATGATAGCGCTAGAAGAAGAAGTGCAAGAAAGGTGGCAGCAATATTTCATAAGCTTACTGAACCCGAGAGAAGCAGAGGACTGTCTGGAAGACCATGTACCATTAACAGAGGGAATTAATGATGAAGATTTGGAAACCATTCCACCTGATGTAGATGACATGCAAAACATTGTATGTAAACTAGATAAGAATGAATCCTGTTACCCTTACAGAAGATAAAGAGAGATGGTTGGTGGCTGTTGACCAGGTCGAGGGCAGCTTCAGAACCTGTTGTGCCAATAAAATAAGATAAAAGATTCTTCAATCATTAAGGGTTTAGTTATATGTCAACACTTACATCACTTTGTGAGGTTCTGCAGTGGTAAAAATCAATAAAACTATGGATAAGAGGGCAATTAGTTCTTTTGAGAGGGATGAGGTTCGGTTTGGTCATGTGAACATGCTAGTCCTTGAAGAGTTGACTAACAACTTCTGGTTCAAAAATATAGTTGTGGGTTTTCTTGAGCACCAAAACACACTCAATTTTCATTTTTTTTTCACAGGTTGGTGTATTCTTCAAGGTCAGTTTGTTGTTTTTCTAAAGTCATTGCAAGATTTTTTTCAACTAATGATTCGGCAGTACTTCACTTCTGTTCTCCTCCACATGCCTCCTTGATTTCACATTGATTTGTTTTCATAATATCACCAATTTTCAAAAATAAAAATAACTATCAAATTAGACATAAAATCTTAATTTTAAGTGATTGCAGGTTAGAACAAATTATTACTGAGACATTCTAGTGGTAGAAACATTAAGACTTCATAAACCGCGAAAATATATATATATATATATTTTTTTTTTTTTTTCTTTTCTTTTTCTCTTCATACCTTCATCTGAACCTGTCATGAGAATGACAATTAGCAGATTTGATGGGATTATATATGGTAATGGCATTATAGGCATGAGGAAGGATAATACCCAGTGGCATCTCTTTCTGGTCTTTGTTTGCTTCCATAAATCAGAGATCTCTCATTCAGCTCCTCTTCAGTCTCCTTCTAATGGGCATGTCGGTTATAAGTCTGTTGTTGTGTCCTTGTAGTTTAACTATCGTGAGTAAAGAGTATGTATGTGTTGGTAGATAGTTGGTTGTCACAACTAAAGTTTTTTTATTCACATACCAGAAAGCAGCTGTTTTGTAAGTGAGTCTTTTTTTTTTTAACTGTATATCTGTGAATGTCCAAATGAGTTTAAGTAGATATGTGTACGTATTTAGTTTTTGTCTGATTTGGTAAAAAGAGAATATTGTATTTTCAGTCACTTGTTTAAAGTCATTTCATTTTGACGTGTGGGCCTCAGTTCATTCTTCTGTCGAATATTAGTCCGAGATAGTGTACTGTGTTCATCTGAGGAATTTGGTTGTTGCCGAAATAAACTGATGTGTCTCGTCTAATTGTAAATGTTATGTCTTGTGATTTGTCATGATATTTTTATTTTTTCAAAAATATTTGTCACGATTTAATGTTATTTTCCAAAGTAAGTACCAGTTTTGTAAATTTAATAAATTATTTTGTAAATTCAATGAGGCTTGTCTAGGGTTATGGTGTTTTTTTTAAATTTCTGTATCGTCAGCGTTTTTAGCAGTCAATGTTTCGGAGTTGTTAGGTATGTCATGCGTATATATATTGTAAAGTAACGGAGCTACTATTGGTTCTTGAGATACTCCTGCTAACACTGGTTAAATTGAGGATGTTTCTAAGCCCTGTCAAACAGAGAAAAATCTGTCAAAAAGGAAAGACAGAAGAATGAGATAGTATGTGTGAGGTAGTACAGTTTTGAGTTTAAAAAGAAGTCCCTGGTGCTTATTATGCCTTTATTATGTCTGGGTAAGATCCAGAAACAGTCAGTAACTCTGTGTAACTGGTGTATTGTTAAATTTAATGTGCGAAAACCGAATTGATGATCAGAAATAATTTTTTGGTCTGTCAATATGTCAATTAATCTTTTATAAATTAATTTTTTGAAAACTTTAGAACATATGGGAAGGAGATTGATTGGTCAGTTAGACGAGGGATTGAAAGAGGTTGGCAACTTTTGTGTTTCCATATTGTAATGATCCATATCCAAATCCATCCATATTCCCATTGTAATGATAGAGAATAATAGAGTTCAATAAATACTATAACAATTTCTTTGTCATTCATTTAAAAAAAATTAATCTTTGCTTGCCTACTTTTCCTTTGTATATATGTGATCGATTGTCTATTAATGCATTATGCTATTAGTATGAGTTCTTTTTCTTAGTTATACCTGCTCTGTTTTATGCTATTGGCGATTAAGTGATTCGTAAACTTTGTTAATTTTTCTATTTGTATAGTTAACAGTACTTACTTCTTTCAGTTATGGTTCTTTTTGTAATGTAATTACTTGATTAATAGCTTTATAAATATTTTCTTTTACTAGCTTAGAATTGTTTCAGGGCCATCTTCTGGTGTGCCTTGGCAGCAATGTATGTATGACTTTACCAATTTATTTAT